GGGGTCATTGATGATGTCACGGGCTCGGGACACGCAGCGCTGGGATGAAATGTCTTTAATGGAGCTAATTCATATAAGAGTAGACCCTGCGTCGACTGTCGCAGCATAGGAATTACGGGCGCCATCTTGGGGAGGTCGACCTGCCACCCTAACCTACTGGTTTAAGCAGAGCAGAAGAAGGATGCCTCAGCAATGCTGCATAATTTTGCTGAAATTAATAGACTGTTAATGTGAGGGCTTGAGGTATAACTTTGTGAAGGCATCAGAGCTTTGGAAGACATTAGTAAATAAACAGCAGATATAAACTTCATAGAATAGAAACTTCCTACACAGTAATTAACTTGATTTATTGCACTTGTACAGCAGAGATTTACTGACCTTATAGATAAGAAGAAAAAATTACACACTCTACACAGTAGTTGGCAAGTGTTATTGCACAGTGACAGAAAATGTTGCATGAGTGAAAACAGGTAAGGTTTTGCATAAGATGTCCAAGGAGGGGCTGCTGACCCTTGACTCTCTTCCTATCACCTCCTCCTTCCCCAAAGTGAGGACTTGCACAGCTTGGTGGCTTGATGAACAAAGAGTTCAGCAGTCTGTTGGTTGGACAACAACGTTTAATTATCCTTTGTTTTAACAAAATCCTTTTTTATATTAAATTATGTAGCATAGTTGCAGAGAAACGTCAGACAAAGCACATTTAGAGAGAGAAAACAAAGGACCTGTAAACTGAACTTTATTGATCTCACAATCGAGAAATTAAATCTGTATTTAACCCCTCCCCTTGGGGAGCAGTGGGCTGCCATTGTGGGGCGGTTAAGGGTCTTTGCTCAGGGAGCCAGAGCAGCAGTGGGGCTTGAACTCACAACCTCAGGATTCCTAGCTCTATGCCCTAACCATTAGGCCACCACTCCCCCCTATAAAGCATAAAAAGCACCTTCTCAGAGCACTCCCCATGTATTGTCCCCATCTACCTGCTCAGCCATTGTTAATCAGTGACATCACTCAGTAGATAAACAGGTCAGGGTGTAACAACTATTGAGAAAACACGTGACAATACAGAGCATTAGGTAAACGGGACAATAACAGCAGAAAATCCACAAATGGTATTAGGTTGACAGATAGGGAAGACGTAACCAAGTGAGGAAAAGTCAACAAACAGATCTGCTAGTCCGCAATCATCTGCATACATATATTCAGCTTTAAACCTACTCTGAAAAATGGGTTTATATCCTGGCCCTTTATTTTCAAAGCATCAGTCATTTCAGTCAGATCTCCTGGATTGCATTAATTACTTTACCAATGAAACCATAGACATAATATAGGAGTAGACCCCGCATTGACTGTTGCGGCACAGGAATTACGGCGGCCATCTTTGGGCGCTCGACCTGCTACCCTTCTTTAAGGAGAACAGAAGAAGGAGGCCTCAGCACTGCAGC